AAAGGTAAACTGCAGTGTAATGTTCTGTTGTTGGGTTTGCTAATGTTGTGGTTTATGGACATGCACTGCAATAAAAACACTAGTTCACCTGGTGGTGGATAACCACCTCCACTTGTTGGTGGCACGCCAACTATACCAGGTGGAGGTGGATATCCTGGTTGTCCTGGTGGAGGATAATATGGCTGTCCTGGTGGAGGATAATATCCCTGTTCTGGTGGAGGATACACAGGTTGCCCAGTATATGGAGCTGACATTGTTCCAAAGTTTATTTCTGTTTACCTGAAGAGAGAGGGAAAAAACACATCTCATACAACTAATAATAAACAACAACCAACAAAACTTTAATAAGTTACTAAAAACTTGTTGGGATAATGTCTTGGAACTCAAACAGTTTATGTGTCAAAACTGTTAACTAATAATAAAAATATTTAAGCATTATCAACAACAAATATTTTTCAGAATAGCTAACCTCATTGGTTAAGAAGCTAAGCACACTTTTATATGAAATATTTTCAACTAGTTTTACAACACCATAACATTTGGGACAGATAGTACCAAGTTAAACCACACACACTGTGATGAACCTTCCTTGTCCTCATCTAGCAGATGATCAGGAAAATTAGCCAAAACTAGCTCAAAGTAGGCAGAAATAACTAACTGAAGGAGAAATGACAAGTTAAGTTTTAACATCTGAAACTGTTTATCTTCTCTCCAACATTTAATCTGACAATAACACTAAAGGGAGTTTGGAATTTATGACAAGAACTTACTTAAATAGTACTAGATGCTATATGTCAGGAGCCATTTGATTACTCCAGTTCTTCTTTACAATAAGCAAAAGGGACTATCACTAAATCTATCATAGTTTTTACATAATATAAAAAAAAGAAACTCCATACCAGCATACAATTGGCCATAAGTTAATTACCAATGAATGACACATTTACTATGCCATTTGATTACTCAAATTCTGCTCCACACTAATCAGAAAGAATTACATATTTCAAAGTATGAATATGAAATATGCCATTGAGTGTTAACTGACCCGTCTGGGGAAATATATGCTGGTATAGAGATTTTTTTGGTTTGTGACAGAAAATTAAGTAATTCAGGAATAATTTTCCCTGATTACTGTAGGACTGATGTAGAGTGACATATGGAGTGTATCAGTGTTAATTAACTGCCCTGTCCTGGCAAATATATATATGCTGGTCTGGAGAGTTTTTATTATCTTACAAAAAAAAAACTTAACAGATTTGGAAATAATTCTCCCTGATTAGTGTAATAGAGAATAGGAGTAATTGAAAGACACATGTCATTTAGTGCTATCTAAGTGCTATATCTGGACAATGATATTCTTGTTCAGCTTTGACCCATTCCCCTAACAAGAAGAAAAAAAAAAGTAGGCCTACAGATAAATTAATAATACATAAAATTTAAAGACAACAAGGGACCTGTTGGTTCACCTATGCTATCACACTCACTAAATTAAATGTTAAAAGAAAAAGGAAAAAAAAACTCACAAGCGAGCCTTTATGATTTGAATATTTATTACGTCTTTCTTTAAACTCTCTTAATTAAGTTTACTGCATCCACCACATCTGAAGGCAACCTATCCCAAAGACCAACCAACCACCCTGTTAGAAAAATAAAACTGTCTTTATTGAAGATGACTGCTATCCTACCAAAATTTGTACTTATTTACCCTATTCCTACCACTCTCACCATTAAATACAAAAACAGATGATGCATCAACTCCATAAATTCCCTTAACAATCTTAAACATTTAAATCAGATTCCCTCTAACTCTTAATTTTTCAAGACAAAACAACTTCAGATACTTTAAACTGTTATCATAATATGAAAACCTTTGTATCCTAATTATGACTGGTACTAGCAGCCTTCCTCTGAACATTTTCCAATAATTCACTGTTCTTCCTAAGGTAAGGATCACAAGACTAAACAAAATACTCCAGATGTGGCCTAACCAGTGATCTATACAATAAAATTATAATATTTTAAGACTTGTATTAAATATTTTATAGATACAACCTAAAAACCTATTTGCCCTACAACTAGCAACAGTACACTACTTGGTTAGTTTTAGAAATATGTCAACCAGAAATTCATGATCCTGTTCCTCCATATTCCACATGCATTACCTTGCATTTATTACAATTTAAAGCTATCTGATGTTTATTTGACTAGCTCACTAAATAAGCTAAATCTTTTTGAAAAGCAGCAGCATTCTCTTTACAGCCAGCAACACTGATGACCTTAATATAATCTGCAAATAAGTAACTTATTAACCATTATTTCATTTATGTCACTAATGTAAATCAAAAAGATCAAAGGGTGGACAGAAAAATGTGTTGGATGAAAGAATGTTTAAACATAATTCATTCAAATTGACATAATGTTGCCTGTGGGATACTGCATGCACAGTTTTAGAACTTTTGCTCTTTTTTTTCGATTTACACCAGTGACATAGATGAAGGGATGGTCAGTGAATTACCTAAGTTTGCTAATGATATTACTATTGGCCCAACTTATCCCATACACCTATAGAAATTTCTTTAAAAACCTTTGAAAATCTACATATTTACCTACTAGGAGAGATACGTATCTACTAATATTAGCCTATCGTATCTAAACAAGATTCAGTGTCTGTGTGTGTCACATAACTCCTCCTAAACTGTTTGGCTCACTAACTTCTAAATGATGTTGAACAAATTGTCTTGGCCCTGAGGTTTGCACAAAGATAAACCTTTTCACCCAAACCCAGTAGGATACTTGGGTATTTCATGAAAACATTTTTATGGGGATTCCCTGAAATAGGACCCCAAATCTGGCATTGATTTACAGTTATATTAGAGCATGAAAATAAGTAGGCCTACTAATTACTGTTCATAACTTGGTTAAAGAAATTAAATATGCATTAATTTATAGCGGCCCTGTAAATTGTAATTGTAAATCATGTAGACCATTGGCCCACACGTTCGTTAGTAATACTTCTACTAAGTTCTATTTCTTAACTACTAAAGTTGTTTATTAATTATTCTAATTAATTTATATTGAACTGTTTTCATTAAAATTTAAAGTTTTAGTTTTTAATTTTGATTTGATCACTATGTTACATAGATTAATGATTAAACATTATTACTACTGAACTAGTAACAATATTATACTTACTAAGCACTTGACGTTTTGATTTTTATTTTGAAGTTTTAATAAAGTTCTACAACTTACAACATGTAATACAGAATTACTACTGCTACAAAACTAAAAGTCTTAAAATTCGTCATTCGTCTTAAAATCCCAATCCCTGTTCGTACTACTATACAAAAAGTAAGTAAACTTACACTTATGAAGTAAAGTTGTAATTCACTTAAGTGATTTTTCTTTCTGAATAGTGATGTTATTTATTGTGACTTATACAATTTCATGAGGTTTCACGTACACATAACCCAAACCCGTATATTTATCAGGATGCATTAAAACACCAAAAACGTCACACACGTAAACATTACCCGTAAGCCAACGCCCGACTTCCGAAATAGTAAAAGGCGAAATTACGTTTAAATACGTAAAAGAAATGGCAGAGGAATTATTACGTTAAATTTTATTTTGAATAATTGAAAAGCTGCCCGGTGTCGGTTAACAATACGAAGAATTAAATTGTGCCGGAATACTACAAGTTCTTCAAATACCTATAGAATACATTTTTGTGAGTGTAAAACACTTAAATATACCAGTTCGATTTATTTTGAATATTGTTACGCTTCTGTGTTCGTTTGTTAATTTCCAGGTATAAATTCTTCCCGAGGAACTTCAGAGATACAAGTCCTTTCTTAAATAAAACTAGTTTATTCTTTCTCAATTCAACTTTGCAATGCACTTAATTTCCACAGTCACTTTAAACACACGCTATAATTCACAATGATTCACGCACTTAATTACGGTCAATACCGCGCTTGACTCAATTGTCCGTCTTTATCTCTGCCTGTCTGCAATTCAATTCCGATTAATTTGTCTCACGTTATCCGGCGCAATTATATACAGGAATAGATGGCGCCTAGCACATACTGGATTATTCGTGATGTTCCCCGATCCTTCTAGAACAGGGGTCACCAAACTACGGCCCGCGAGGTCAATTCATCCGGCCCGTCGCTGCACTGTGCCACAAATGAGATAAAATATAATTATGTATATGGAAATATCATAGATTGTAGATAAACTTACTATGTAAAAAAAAAATTAAAAAAAATGAAAGTATATGTAAGTAAAAATGTCCAAATTTGTCCAATCTGATTTTTGCATCTGACAGTAATATAAGTTTTAG